CTGATGACCTTGTCAATCTGATTATTTATTTTGAATATCACCTCTTGCAATGCTTGGGAACCAGGAGGCTATGCCCTTTTCTTCCTGTCATTCCTTAGATCCTGGTCCTGGGAAGTGAGCTTCACACAGCAGAGATACTGTTATTGGGCTGGGTTTTACCCATCGCTGCTGGTACAGGATGCTGGCTCAGGCCAAACGAGAACTTCATGAAGCATACACAGGTTTCAATACTGATTTGATCAGGTTGAAGAAAGCATATCAGAGATTGAAAATCAACCCAATGAAATAAAGCAAGAAGGCAAGATTAGAGAAAAAAGACTGAAAAGAAATGAACAAAGCCTCCAAGAAATGTGGGATTATGTGAAAAGACCAAATCCATGTTTAATCGGTGTACCTGAATGTAAGAGGGAGAGTAAGACCTAGTTGGAAAACACTCTTAAGGATATTTTCCAGAAGTTCCTTAACCTAGCAAGGCAGGCCAACATTCAAATTCAAGAACTACAGAGAACATGGCAAAGATATACCTCCAGGAGAGCAACTTCAAGGCACATGATCGCCAGATTCACCAGGGTTGAAATGAAGGGAAAAATGCTAAAGGCAGCCAGAGAGAAAGGTCAGGTTACCCACAAAGAGAAGCACATCAGACTCACAGCAGGTCTCTTGGCAGAAACTCTACAAGCCAGAAGAGAGTGAGGGCCAATATTCAACACTCTTAAAGAAAGGAATTTTCAATCCAGAATTTTATATCCAGCCAAACTAAGCTTCATAAGTAAAAAAGAAAATTCTTTACAGAGCAGCAACTGCTGAGAGATTTTGTCACCACCAGACCTGCCTTACAAGAGTGCCTGAAGGAACCACTAAACATGTAATGGAATAACCAGTACTTGCCACTGCAAAAACATGCCAAATTGTATAGGCCATAGACACTATGAAGAAACTGCATCAACTGACGGGCAAAACAATGAGCTAGCATCAAAATGGTAAAGTGAAATTTGCACATAACAATATTAACCTTAAATGTAAATGGGCTAAATGCCCCACTCAAAAGACATAGACTGGCAAATTGAATAAAGAGTCAAGACCAATCAGTACGCTCTATTCAGGAGACCCATCTCACCTGCAAAAACACACATAGACTCAAAATAAAGGAACAAAGGAAGATTTACCAAGGAAATGGAGAGCAAAAAATCAAAAGCAAGCGGTGCAATCCTAGTCTCTGATAAAACAGACTTTAAGCCAACAAGGAGCAAAAGAGACCAAGAAGGGCATTACATAATGGTAAAGGGATCAATGCAACAGGAAGAGCTAAGTATCCTAAATATTGTGCACTCAATGCAGGAGCACCCAGATACATAAAGCAAGTTTTTAATGACCTACAGAGACTTAGTCTCCCATACAACGATAGTGGGAGACGTTAAGACCCCACTGTCAATATTAGATCAAGACAGAAAATTAAGGATATCCAAGACTTGAACTCAGATATGGACTAATTGGACCTAATAGACATCTACAGAACTCTTCACCCCAGATCCACAGAATATACATTCTTCTCAGCAACACATCACACTTACTCAAAAGTGGACCACATAATTGGAAGTAAATACTCAGCAAATGCAAAGGAACTGAAATCATAACAATTAGTCTCAGAACACAGAGCAATCAAATTAGAACTCAGGATTAAGAAACACACTCAAAACCACACAACTACATGGAAACTGAACAACTTGCTTCTGAATGACTACTGGATAAATAATGAAATGAAGACAGAAATAAAGATGTCCTTCAAAATTAGAATGAAGGCACAACGTTCCAGAATCTCTGGGACACATTTAACGTGTGTCTTCACAGAAATTTATAGCACTAAATGCCCACATGAGAAGCAAGGAAAGATCTAAAATCAACACCTGTTGTCACAATTAAAAGAACTAGAGGAGCAAGATCAAAAAAAATCAAAAGCTAAGACAAGGAATAACTAAGTTCAGAGCAAAACTGAAGGAGATAGATAGAGACACACAAAAAAAAAAACCTTCAAAAAACTTATTGAATCCAGGAGCTGGGTTTTTGAGAAGATCAACAAAATAGACCACAAGCCAGACTAATAGAAAAGAGAAGAATAGATGCAATAAAAAATGATAAAGGAAAAATCACCACTGATTCTACAGAAATACAAACTAGCATCAGAGATGACTACATACATCTCTTGGAAATAAACCAGTAAATCTAGACAGTATGTAAAAATTCCTGGACACGTACACCCCAGGAAGACTAAACCAGGAAGAAGTTAAATCCCTGAATAGCCAAATAACAAGGTCTGAAATTGAGGCAGCAATTAATAGCCTACCAAACAGAAGTCCAGGACCAAACGGGTTCACGGCCAAATGTTACCATAGGTAAAAAGAGCTGGTAACATTCCTTCTGAAACTGCCAAACAACACAAAAAGAGGGAATCCTACCTAACTCCCTTTATGAGGCCAACATCCTGATACCAAAACCTGGCAGAGACACAACTAAAAAAGAAAATTTCAGGCCGATATCCATGATGAACATTGATGGGAAAATCCTCAATAAAATACTGGCAAACCGAATCCAACAGCACATCAAGAAGCTTATCCATCATGACCAAGTCAGCTTCATCCCTGAAATGCAAGCCTGGTTCAACATACACAAATCTATAAACACAATCCATTACATAAACAGAACCAAGACAACCTCGTGATTATTACAATAGATGCAGAGAACACATTCGACAAAATTCAACATCCCTTTATGCTAAAAACTCTCAATAAACTAGGTATTGATAGAACGTATCTCAAAATAAGAGCTATTTATGACAAACTCACAGACAATAACATACTGTATGAGCAAAAACTGGAAGCATTTCCTTTGAAAACCAGCACAAGACAAGGATGCCGTCTCTCACCACTCCTACTCAACACAGTGTTGGAAGTTCTGGTCAGGGCAATCAGACACGAAAAAGAAATAAAGGGTATTCAAATAGGGAAAGAGGAAGTCAAATTGTCTTTATTTGTAGATGGCATGATTGTATATTTAGAAGACCCCACCATCTCAGCCCAAAATCTCGTTAAAGCTGATAAGCAAATTCAGCAGTCTAAGAATACACAATGTGCAAAAGTCACAAGCATTCCTATACACCAGTAACAGCCAAATCACAAGTGAACTCCCATTCACGATTGCTAGAAAGAGAGTAAAATACCTAGGAATACATCTAACAAGGGATGAAAGGACCTCTTGAAGGAGAACTACAAACCATTGCTCAAGGAAATAAGAGAGGACACAAACAGAAAAACGTTCCCTGCTCGTGGTTAGAAATATTGTGAAAATGCTCATACTGCCCAAAATAATTTACACATTCAATGCTACCCCATCAAGCTACCATTGACTTTCCTCACAAAGTTGGAAAAAACTACCTTAAACTTTATATGGAACCAAAAGAGAGCCTGCATAGCCAAGACAATCCTAAGCAAAAAACAACAACAACAACAACAACAAAAAGCTAGAGACATCATGCTACCTGTATTCAAACTATACTACAAGGCTACAGTAATCAAAACCATGGTACTCATACCAAAACAAAGATACAAACCAATGGAATAGAAGAGAAGCCTCAGAAGTAATGCCACACCTCTACAACCATCTGATCATTGACAAACCTGACAAAAACAAGCAATGGGGAAAGGATTCCCTATTTAATAAATGGTGCTGGGAAAACTGGCTAGCCATCTGCAGAAAGCAGAAACTGCATCCCTTCCTTACACCTTATACACAGATTAACTGCAGATGGATTCAAGATTTAAGCATAAGACCTAACATCATAAAAATCCTAGAAGAAAACCTAGGCAATACCATTCAGGACATAGGCGTAGGCAAGGACTTCATGACTAAAGCACCAAAAGCCAAAATAGACAAGTGGGATCTAATCAAATTTAAGAGTTTCTGCACAGCAAAAGAAACAATAATTAGAGTGAACTGGCAACCAACAGAATGGGAAAAAATTTTTGCAATCTACCTATCTGACAAAGGGCTAATATCCAGAATTTAGAAAGAAAGAAAACAAATGTACAAGAAAATCAACCCCATCAAAAAGTGGGCAAAGGCTATGAACAGATGCTTCTCAAAAGAAGATATTTTTGCAGCCAACAAACAGGACAAAAAGCTCACCATCACTGGTCATTAGAGAAATGCACGTCAAAGTCTCATTGAGATGCCAGTTAGAATGGCGATCATTAAAAAAATCAAGAGACAACAGATGTTGGAGAGGATGTGGAGAAATAAGAACACATTTATACTGTTGGCAGGAGTGTAAATTAGTTCAGCCACTGTTGCAGATAGTGTGGCCACTCCTCAAGGATATAGAATGAGAAATACCATTTGACCCAGCTATCCCATTGCTGGGTATATACCCAAAGGTTTATAAATTATTCTGTTATAAAGACACATGCACACATATGTTTAGTACAGTACTGTTTACAATAGCAAAGACTTGGAAACAACCCCAATGCCCATCAATGACAGACTGGATAAAGAGTGTGGGCCGGGCATGGTGGCTCAAGCCTGTAATCCCAGCACTTTGGGAGGCTGAGGTGGGTGGATCACTAGGTCAAGAGATCGCAACCATCCTGGTCAACATGATGAAATTCCATCTCTACTAAAAATACAAAAAATTAGCTGGGCATGGTGGTGTGTGCCTGTAATCCCAGCTCCTCAGGAGGCTGAGGCAGGAGAATTGCCTGAACCCAGGAGGCGGAGGTTGAGGTGAGCTGAGATCGCGCCATTGCACTCCAGTCTTGGTAACAAGAGCGAAACTTCGTCTCAAAAAAAAAAAAAAAAAGAGAGAGTGTGGCACATATGCACCATGGAAAAAGGCACATATGCAGCCATAAAAAAAGGACAGTTGATATTTTTTGCAGGGACAAGGATGAAAATGGAAACCATCATTCTCAGAAAACAAGAACAGAAAACCCAACACTGCATGTACTCACTCATAAGTGGATGTTGAATGATAAGAACACAGGGACACAGGGAGGGGAACATCACACTTCAGGGCCTGTCAGGAGGAGAGGGAGGTAAGGGAGAGATAGCATGGGGTGGAACGACTGGGGAGGGATAACATTAGGAGAAATATGTAATGTAGATGACGGGGATGGATGCAGCAAACCACTATAGTGCGTCTATAGCTATATAACAAACCTGTACGTTCTGCATATGTACTCCAGAACTTGGTATAATTTTTAAAAATAAATCTGATGCAGTCTTGTCAGCCTGACCAGGTGGTTCTCAAACTCCTCAGCTCAGGCAACCTCAAACTCTGAAGTAGCTGGGACTATAGGTGTATATATCACCACACCCAGCTATTTTTTCCTATAATTTTTAATATTTTGTTTTCACTACAGAACCAATAAGTAGAGGAAGTCATTTCTACCAAGTATATAATACCAAATAATAAGTGTCCAAGAAAAACAGCTATATGCTAGTTGTACAGTTTTTCAACTAAAAGGTGCCAGGGAGATTCCATGATAACCACAGGTAATTTGACCCACTGAAGATTTATACTTGCAAAAATACAGATGTCACACTAGTATGATTTAAAAGTCAAAATATTTATCTAATTAAATCTTAACCAAGTTTCATATTTTCTTTATAGGGGAAAGCATTTCCTAATGTGATTTTTCTGTTGCTATGTATCTTCCAGTTCATTTTTGTTCAGCTCCCACCCTGTCACAGTACTTATCAATCTTCTGTTAGTTACCAACATTAAATAAAAATTTTTAATCAACTAGCCATATGGCTGGTTTTCTCTGACCAACTTTCCATAATCATCATTAAAGAATAATCGGTAAACTGCTAAATTTATAAAAAGTAACTATGCAAAAGTTGACTGAGTGAGAAAGTTTTACAAGAGACCACTTTACCTTGGTAGTAACAGTCAAGTCTTCATCATCTGGTTTAGGGCATGAATCCACACATGGTTCCTAGAAAATGCTTTAGAGCAAAAATATACAATAAAAATGAGCAAGTTGATTTTTTTTTTTTTTTTACAAATTTATTAATTACTAGTTCACCTTCAGCTTCCCCCTTCAACAAACAAAAACGCAATCAAGGAAAAGGTCAGCTTTCTGTATATTAAGTAAAATTTATTGATAAAATATAGCCTCTGTTCTAAAAATAGATTTGGGGTACATATTTTTGCCTCCAGCTGTCCAAATCTATAAAATATTCCATCAAAACTGACCTTGAGCTTTATAACAAATAGTGACAGCCAATATATTGGCAGAGCTTGACAATAATTTACCCTCACAAATTATCTGTCCTGAAGCAGAACATGAAATTCAATTAATGGATGACATAAATTTTGTCACCTAAACTGGAAAAAACCTTATGACCTAAAGCAAGGTAGAAAGATCCACTGTCTCTTGTTTATTGTCTATTTCTGATTAAAAGACTAATCTGGGTCGCTTCAAAATAGCAGTCTTGATTCCTCAGCATAGAAACCACTTAAGAAGGTCCCAATTTTTTTTTGTCCTAAAAGAGCACAGAGAATCCCCTGCTGTATTTGAAATATGTGAGAGCTAAATGTAAAAAAGTCTAATAGTGAAGGTGTATTTTCTTATTTACGATACTCCTCCCAGAAAGATTAAAACATTAACAATTATAAAAATCCAATTATTTTCACTATAGGTCCTACCTTATTCAGGTCCACATAAACTAGTAAGCCCTTAAAAGCCTTCATAGGCACTCAGATATCCAACAAGAGAGACTGATGGAAAAACAGTCCTGGCAGTTGTACCTCTATTTCCCTAAGTTCTATCTAAATATCTTTCTATGGTTTCCCACTTTCAGATTCCACTTATGCAGGGCTCCATGGCTGTTTCCCATCTTCAAATCTTCAGTCTATGAAAGCACAGATTCCTGAAAGGATGGCCTCAAATGATCAGGAGTGGGACCGCTCTATATCTCTGCCCTTGAATAACAACCTAACGAGTATCTACTAACTACCAGCACAGACACATCTCCAACTACCCAGCTGAACTTCATGACTGATTTGACAGCCAATGATGCCCCTGACCCAGCCTACACAGATGTGGAAAGGACATCACTGAATTTGGAAAAGAGGCAGAGATGAGGAGATACCTGCCCTGGGCCACAGATCTATGTAGTTCAGCTATCTCCAGCCCATCAGTACCCAAGGGGCTCTAAGCCACCCCTCTGCAAGTCAGGATGGAATTAAATGATACCACATTTCTGTCTGCTGTAGAGACTTTTCCCAGTGTCTCCAAATGTTTTAGCATCTTACCGAAAAATCTTCAAGTTTGTCAGTTCTTGATTTAAAAAGCACAGAAGTCTGTTTAGAGCTTCCTTGAACTCTCTATTTTAATGTGCCTTTTTAGATAATGTCCAATATCTTGTGTCCTTCATTTTTTTATTATATCACACTTGTCATAAACCCTAATATTCTAATCTCTTATTGAATAATCCGTATCCAGTGTCTTTTCTCCTCAAACTTGGCCTTTCCTTCTCATTCCATTCTTAGCCATATCCATTGGGCTCATTAGCTAATTTTATTCTCATTCTATCCACTGAGTGCACCAGACTCACTCCCTTTTTGTATTATTAAAACACATGCAAGGCCAGGCGTGGTGGCTCACACCTGTAATCTCAGCATTTTGGGAAGCTGAGGCAGGCAGATCACCTGAGGTCAGGCATTCGAGACCAGACTGACCAACATGGAGAAACCCTGTCTCTACTAAAAATACAAAATTATCTGGGCATGGTGATGCATGCTTGTAATCCCAGATACTCAGGAGGCTAAGGCAGGAAAATTGCTTGAACCCAGGAGGCGAATGTTTTGGTGAGCTGCAATTGTGCTATTGCACTCCAGTCTGGCAACATGAGTGAAACTCTGACTCAAAAAAAAAAAAAAAAAAAAGCCAATAGAATAAAAAAAGAAGGAAGAGTATTGGGCTTTAAAACAAGTTCAAATCTCATATCCACCACGTCTTATGTCTGAAAAAAAAGCATCCTAATCTCTTTGATTCTCAAGTTCTCTATCTAGAATATCATTTGACCATAACATTAACACAGATTGAAGTACTAGAAGATATTTTAAGTAGTCCTAAGATTCCTTAAATTTTTGTAATTCTATGTGTTTTTGGTTCTGTCTATAGGAAAATTGGGAATACATAGCCAGCAGAATTTGAAAACATAATGAAACACCAAGGAAGAAAAGTCATAGAAAAAGAAAAACAAAAAATAAAAAAGCATTATGGAAGGAGGCAGAAATACTAGCCTACAGGAAAAACAAAACTGGGAAGTTAAATAATTTTTCTTCAAGACTTGCAAAATTTTGGTTTTGTAAAACTTTCAGTCCTATGGCCAAACATTTACCCTGCCCTAAAAACTTTGATGGTTAATTAAAAAGAAAAAAAAAAAGCAATGCTGTTTACCACAAAAATTGTCAGATTTATTAAGACAAACTCAAGGACTAACCTCATTTCTAACAGTAACCTAAAATGAGAGTTTAACTTATTTAGACTCATTAATTTAGACATCAATTAAAATAATTAATCTGACTAATCTTATTCAGACCTATACCTTGATCAAAGTGCTGCACAGATATCTCTATCAATCTGCACTGAGGAGCAAGAGAAAAGATTTGAAAGCCAGATTGTCTGGCAGTCAAACTGTGGGTCAGCTACTTTGTGAACTATGGGATCATGATCCAATTAGTCAACCTCTAAACCACAGTTGCCTATTTAATAAACAGTAGGTTATAAGAAAACACACGTTGTGATGGCTTCATGAGATAAATGCATAGCACATAATAGGGTGGTTGGCCCAGAATACAACACTCAATAGATATTAGTTTTTTCCATCTTTATTTTCTTAGTTAACGTAATTTTTTAAATCTGTAAAATTCTGACTGTAGATTCTTCAGAACTCCTAGAGTCTATTAAAGGAAAAGGTAAAATGCATTTTAAATCATGTATAGAATATTAAAACCATAAGAAAGTACAGTCATGCATGGCTGTAATTTCAACTATTTGGGAGGCTGAGGAAGGAAGATCACTTGAGAAACCCAGAAGTTTGAGACCAGTTTAGAAAACATAGCAAGACTCTACCTTCATTAAAAAACAAAAAAGTATGCACAGTTTATGTACATGCTTTAGATCATTTTTCTTTAAAGTATAGGACTGATGCTTTGTTACAAAGCATTTTTTTGGGAGCATACCTGGGACCTTATTAGAATTAATATAAATTATACCTATTGGTAAGTAATTAATGCAGTAAGAACTCTTACTTTCCTTACTTTGTATTTATTAAATGCAAAGAATAAATTTATTAAAATTTAATATGTACAAGTGAACTGCAGTATATGAGTCATCTTAGCTAAACCCTATGAAATTGGCTAAAAATGGTATTGTTAGCAGAACAGATGGAGTGAGTGCCCAGTGTCAAACAGCATGATATTTCTGGACCAAAATATGAGAGGAGCAAACAATAGTACCCCTTATTCACTATATGTGTGGAAAAGACACACTTGTCATGTTTTTCTCTGCTCTCACACCACAGCAACAATCGTCAACAGAAGGCTTCTCTGACCAAATGTATAGAGAGGTTTTTCCCTACCAACAAGCAAGCAATCACTTCTGCAGATGACACAAGCTGGGTGTCCTCTAATTCATTTCTCATACTGTATCTGCTGATAGCATCAGATTCCACAGGTAAAGGGCTCAGTCTCATGAGACTTTCTTCCTACATCAGTCCTAAGTCTGAAACTCCAGAACTTCTCACCAATTGGCTTCAAATTGGGGTTCCCAGGACTCCCTCATTGGGTTAAATTGAATTGCTGGAATGGCTCCAAGGACTCAGGGAAACACACTTACCATTACACTATGGATTACATCACAAAAAAGTACACATGAAGAAATGCATAGTACAAAGTATGGGGCTAGTGGCACAGAGATTCCATGCCCTCTCAGGACACACCACCCTCCAGGAACCTCCATGTATTTAGCGATCTGGAAGCTCTCCCAGCCCAGTCCCTTTGGGACTTCATGCAAGCTTCAATACATAGGCATCACTAATTAATCACTGACTGTTGGTGACTGACAACCTTCAGCCCTTCTCTCCTCCCCAGAGTTTGCAGAGTGAAACAGAAGATCTCAACCCTCTAATCAGCCATGTCTTCAGGATGGTGACCAGTTCCCATCCTGAATCTACCTATGAGCTTCCAGCCATTGATTATTAGCATACCAAAAGACATCACTTTGGAAATTCTAAGGAGTTTAAGAATTGTACACCAAGAAATGAGCCAAAGTTCAAACACAGATTTTACATCTGCAGTTTTGAATTATGTAGTTACAGCTACTATCAGTTAACTGTATTCCAAATATATTACATTGAAAACCAGAAATAAACAAGTCGTGTTAGTGTACCAATCTGAGGAGCACAATAAAATCTTGAGCTCTTGCCCTCTATCCATCCCAGGATGTGAATCATTCCTTTGTCCAGTGCATTCACACTGCATCTGCTGTCGAGCCATTGGTCATCAACATGGTCTCCTCCTGCATCCAGCCATCAACATCATTAAGGCCTGAAGGTCCAGAAACACTCAAAGCTGATCATCTTTTTTCTGACTTAGAGTCAGTGGGTGAATAGTGTCCTAACACTACATGAAAATGCCCACATTCACCTCACTTCATCTCATTACACAGGCATTGTATCAGTTTACATCATCACAGCAAAGGGGCTGAAAACCATACCATATATTTTAAGAGACTACATTCAAGTAACTTTTATTACAGCATATTACTATAATTTTTCATTGTATTTTTAGTTGTTAATTTCTTACTGTGCCTAATTTATAAATTAAACTTTAACATAGATATGTAAGTATAGGAAAAAACCAGTGAGTAATTCAGTACTATTTGTGCTTTCAGGCATTCACTGGGGGCCTTTGAATGTATCTCCCACAGTTAAGGCAGAACTACTGCACTTACTTCATTGTAACACAACACATTCTCTCTAGCTCTTCAGTTAGAGCTGTGCAGTTTAGGATAAAACACCCTATCACCGGAAGTCAGCAAAACATAGGAATCAGACCAGAAATGGATTCTTGTGAAAACTTTCCAGCTGCCAGTAGAGAAGAGCTCAAGAGATATTGATGTATTACTCTGACCAATACTCTTGGGGAAGGTGCTGGGTGTTTACTTAGTTGTAGCCATGTGCTCCGCCCTACATATAACAAGGCCCAAATTCACCTGCCATTTTACCTCTTACAGAAAGAAAGCACCACTGGAAAGATGACTGCTTTAAGAGCTTATCCACTCTGAACCACATCACAGAACAAGACTGTCTCAACAATAACAACAACAACAACAACAAAGAAACAAACCTAATTGTTCCCATGTAAAAATAAGTCTAGGTCTACACTAGATCTGAAGAGTTCACAATGCCATGAGACAGGACAGAAATATATTCAAAGAATTATATTCCTGTTTTCTGTAGAAATAAAACTGTTGAATTTAAGCTTTTGTAAGACAAGTCAAGAAAAAGAGCAAAAAATGCAAAAGTAAAACTTGAAAGCCTCATCAAGGGCTTTGTCATCAAGGGCTCATTCAAAAACTATATTGTTCAAATAGTTGGTTCTGAATTTAGACATAAGTTGCAGTTTCATTCCAGGATGTTCAAGAGGTCAAATAAGACAATGTTATTTGCTATTTTCAGTCTTTTTTTTTCTTTTTATTTTTTTAGAGAACAGTAAACTTCTTTAGAAAAATGAATTGTTGTAACTTCATAGGCTAAAGGCTCATGAGTCATAATTCTAAGGGCATTTGTAAAATATGGTGGTTCATGCTTGCATTCTGAACTTCTCAGCCTTAAATTCTCATATAGTAAATATTCACAGATAAAAATTGATTAAACAAAAGGCCCTTTAAGTCTTACATTATTTTTCCTTTTTTTTTTTTTTTGTTTGAGACAGAGTCTTGCTCTGCTGTCAGACTGGAGTGCAGTGGTGCAATTTTGGCTCACTGCAACCTCTGCCTCCCGGGTTCAAGCGATTTCTGTGTCTCAGCCTCCCAAATAGCTGGGACTACAGGCACACACCACCATGCCCAGCTAATTTTTTATATTTTAATAGAGATGGGGTCTCACCATGTTGGCCAGGATGGTCTCGATCTCCTGACCTCGTAAACCCCCCACCTCAGCCTCCCAAAGTGCTAGGATTACAGGTGTGAGCAACCACGCCCAGCCTATTTTTTTTTCTTCATTTATCAGCAACAGGAAAGTCTATTAAATGTGGTAGAATGGTACAAGGGAATACAATGAAAAGTATAAAATGAATTAAACCAGAGCTAATTGTATCAATGTAGATACATCTGGAAAATAGAATGCAAAGTACACAAAGAAAAGTGGCAGAAAGATATGTAAAGCATAGAACCACTCACCTTCCATTTTAGGATACAAATAAAAATTCTGCATATTATTTCTGAGCATCGCAATATAGTTAAGGATTTTAAAAGGGTGTTGAAATGGAAAACAGCCAATGATGTTGGTAGCCTCAATGATGTTCATGACGTTGGTTGCCTCTATGCAATTATTTTTTTAAAAAACTTTTTTACCAAAATGTCTCAAAACCACTATTTTAAAAGTCTGTCTTCCGGTTATGAATAACACACCCATACACACACATGCAGACACAGTCTGTTCATGAGAAAATCTCATTGGCTTCAGATCATCTGTGTAATACCATTAACAGGAAGTCTCTAATGTAAATTCAGCAACTAACATCTAAGTAAAGTATTCCTTTAGGTAAGTATCAGAATACCACCTAGCATATAAGACACTGGAAATATCTCAGAGTCTCAGAATTCACTGCTTTGAATCCCTGACAAGTATAAAAATTCCATACTGGAAATGTTATGCTATTCAAACTATTAAAAACATCTGAGTTAAAACTCATATTTTAGAAATCTTGTTTTCTTATACTCCCAAATTTATTTTTATTGAAATATGGATACCAACAATAAAATTTATGTCAATGCCTTCCATTCAAGTTAGAATAAAAAGAGTTAGGGATAAGAAGAATGTGAGTACTTCCAATCATTTAATGTACTTATTTCCAGCATTCCATTTGTATTGAAAATGTACCTGCTCTCAATGTCTGTACATTCTTTCTTTGTACTGCTTCTCTCGCAACAGAAGCTTCCATTTCAGTGGTAGGCTGAATGGGTTTTAAAAGGAAGTAACTAATAAATAATATACATTTTATACAATATAAAGTTAGTAAGTTAAAAATATATATAATAACCTTCAAAGAAGGATATTATTCAGGAGGCCCTACAAAGCAAAGGGGACATGTCATCAATTATATGTAGGTATGACAGGGCCAAACAAACATTTATGCAGTGTTAGTATCAAGCTGAGTCCTCATGCCTGGCTCTGAAAATAATTAAGGTTTTGAGGGTTCTTTTTTGCATCTCCTTTTTTTTTTCTTTTTTTCTTTTTTTTTTTTTTAATTTTTTATTGGATTATAGGTTTTGGGGTACATGAGCAGAGCATGCAAGACAGTTGCGTAGGTACACACATGGCAGTGTGCTTTGCTTTTCTTCTCCCCTTCACCCACATTAGGCATTTCTCCCCAGGCTATCCCTCCCCACCTCCCCCTCCCACTGGCCCTCCCCTTTTCCCCCCTATAGACCCCAGTGTTTAGTACTCCCCTTTCTGTGTCCATGTGTTCTCCTTTTTCATCACCCACCTATGAGTGAGAATATTGCATCTCCTTTTAATTGCCTAGGACAGCAATGTGATAAAAGTATCCTGAGTAAAATAAGAATATAGGATCCCTAAATCACAAAGTTTATATTTCAAAAGTGAGATTGTTTCAAATGCCTATAATTAAAATAGAAAAGTATGGATATTAATGTGAACATCTTGAGCTGATAAGGATAAAATGGACCATTAAACAGTGAAGCCAATCATAACCTATGAGAATCGATGTCAAGGCTGATGGTGATTGCTACAGAGTATTTAAACTCAAAACATCAGTATGAAACTCGAAACTTGATGCCAGAACACCACAAATATTTATCATGTGCTTCCCCTTGTCCTTTAACTTAGGAAATACACAGTTGGGATGCCAGTTCAGGTGAATGTGTGATTCACCTCTCATCAAAGAAAATGTTCTAAATTGATCAGCTTTGATACATACTTATGAAATAACAGTTTCTCAAAATTCTCATGTTCCCATGCTCACGTGGCTACTGAAGCACCTACATTTCTCATATCTTCTTGTTTGACCTTTTCTTAAGAGTTCCTTGATCCACTAATGCAAGACTTAAAACACATC